CAGACCCCAAGGTTCCAATGTACTTCCTTCCTGAAGAAAAGGAGGAGGGAGCGGGCTTCTCTGAGGCTGTGCCTCCTCCATAACTGGTAAAGAGGTCATGGGACCAATGGGGTTAAGTCCCAGCTTTGCTCTGACCCACTTTCCTCCTTGTGCCCACATCCCCTGGGGCCAGTGTGTTGGGTGAGGCCATTTTGGCACCCCTTCACCCACACCTGGGACTTCCCCTAGATGGAAATTCCCAGACCCTGTCTTACTAACCTTGCCAGCTCCCACCAACTGCCTGGGATCTGTTCAGCTTCAACCAGCTCTTTCTGTCTGCTAGCTCTGGACCAGACTACATCTCCACTTTAACCTCAAGGGGCCCAAGGATGTGGGCCACACTCTGGTGCCATCTTTGACGTTTGGCTGCCCCTTTCTAGTGGACTCCTTTGAAGAAAAGATGCTGGGGGGAGGGCGTTGGGACGCTATCCTTTGTTGAGCACCTAAATGTTCCAGACATTGTGCTAGGCATATAATTACTCACTTAATCCATGCCGAAGTCCAGAGAGTTAGCAGTTATCATACCCATTTTACATCGCATTCATTTCACAGAAGAGGGAGCTGAGAACCAGAGAGAACCACCCCTTGTACCAGGCCTGTTCTGCTTGCCAGTTTCTTGGCTCTCCTGGTGAATGAGTTTGTGTGTGAATGGCCCTTACCAGCCTCGATTCCTCTTTACATTAATTGACTTACCCTGTATCACACAACTAAGAAGTGGCAGAGCTATGATGAGAACCCAGGTCTTAGGGATCCTCTTCACCACAGCAGGCTTCCTCCTCTTCCTTTGTTTTAAATACGTTTTTATTTATTTCAGAGAGAGGAAGGGAGGAGAGAGGGATAGAAACATCAGTGCTGAGAATCACTGATCAGCTGCCTCCTGCACGCCCCCTACTGGGGATCGAGCCCACAGCGTGGGCATGTGCCCTGACTGGGAATCAAACTGTGACATCCTGGTTCATGGGTTGGTGCTCAACCACTGAGCCACACCGGGGCGGGCAGTCTTCCTCCTCTTCTGCAGCTGCTCACCTCTACGTGGGATGAGAGACTTGGGGGAATTCAATTCAATCCCATCAGCAAATAGTTATCGAGCATCTGCTACATACCAGGCAATGAGAGGCGCCAGAAATATAGGAAAGGTGTCTGGCCAGTGTAGCTAGGTGGTTGAGTGTTGACCCATGAACCAGGAGGTCACGGTTCGATTTCCAGTCAGGGCACATGCCCGGGTTGCAGGCTCGATCCCCCATGTGGGCTGTGCAGGAAGCAATCGATTCTCTCTCATCATTGATGTTTCTATCTCTCTCTTCCTCTCTGAAATCAATAAATAAAATATTTTTTTAAAAAGGAAATATTGGAAAGGTTGCTGTCCGCAAGGTTGGGTGGGAAAGATAGGTGTATGGACTAGGAATATCTAACTTCAACCACAATGATTTGAATGAGATGGCGTGCAGCAGAAAAAGAAGAGGTACTTTTATTTTCTCTTTTTGAAAGAGTATATAAATATATTATGAACAGTGTACAAAACAAATTGGAATAAAATAAATACCTATTCAACTGCTACCCAAGAAAGAGTATTCCCTACACCTCAGGTGTCCCTTCCATAATTCCTTCCATACCCTAAGAAGTAACCACCATCCTGACCTTTGAGATCATTTCCTTGTGTGTGTTTTTTATATAGTTTTAGCACCTCTGTGTGCATCTGTAAACAACAGAGCTCAACTTTGCCTATTTTTGAGGTTTATGTAAGTGGAATGATATTATATTACTTTTTTGTCTTTATTTTATTTGTGAGATATACCCAAGTTGTTGCATATAACTATCTTTTTCACCATTGAGTAATATTCAGTTGCGTGAATATCACAATCTACTTATTTTTTAAATTTTTATTACAATTGACATTTAATATACTAATTTCAGGTATACTGCACAGTGATTAGGCATTTATATAACTTAGGAAGCGAGCCCCCTCGATAAGCCTAGTACCACCCGGCACCACACATAGTTATTACAATATTATTGACTATATTTCCTACGCTGTACTTTACATCCCGTGACTATTTTGTAACTGCCAAATTGTACTTCTTAATCCCTTCATTTCACCCAGTCTCCTAACCCCGCTCCCATTTGGCAACCCTCAGTTTGTTCTCTGTATCTATGAGTTTGTTTCTGTTTTATTTGTTTATTTTGTTTTTTACATTCCACATATAAAGGAAATAATATGGTATTTATCTTTCTCTGTCTGATTATTTCACTTAGCATAATACCTTCTAAGTCCATCCATGTTTTCACAAATGGTAAAATTTCATTCTTTTTTATGACTGAGTAATATTCCATTGTATATATGTACCAAATTCTTTTTATCCAATCATTTATCAATGGGCACATAGGTTGCTTCCATATCTTGGCTATAGCTATGAAAATAGGAGTGCATATATCTTTCCAAATTAGTGTTTTGGATTTCTTTGGATAAATACCTAGAAGTGGGATGGCTGGGTCATATGGTGGTTCTATTTTTAATTTTTAGAGGAACCTCCATACCGTTTTCCATAGTAGCACAATTTATTTTTTTACTCTATTGTTGGTGGATGTTTGAGTTGTTTTCAGTTTGGGCTATCATAGTGCTGCTAAAAATATTTTTGTACATGTTTCCCAGTCAATACATGCAAGAGGTCGCCAGTTTGATTCCTAGTCATGGCAACATGGGGTGCATACAAGAGGCAATCAATCAATATTTCTCCCTCACATCACTGTATCTCTCTCTCTCTCCCTCTTCCTCTCCCTTCCTCTCTCTCTTTAAGAAATCAATAAAAATATATTTTTTAAATAAAGGATTTTTGAAGCTACAAATCTAAGAGTCAAAGTGTATATAGAGGTAATCTCAGCTTTATCAGATAAAGCCAAACTTTTTCCCAGCATGGTTGTACCAGTTTCTCAGGAAGCAGAACATTCTAACCAGGGGCAGGCATAGAGTCAAGAAAACCCATATACTTTCTTACCTAAAACCCTCAGTAGTTTTCCCTTCTTCTTGGAATAAGATCCACGTCCCTACCGTGACTCCCATGGCCTCTGCCTTGCTCTCTACCTCTGCCATTATAACTCCTCTTTGCTCTTTGCACTTGCTGTCCCCCCTCTCTGGGATTCTCTTGCACTAGATGTCTCCATGACTTGCTCCCTCACTTTATTTAGGTCTTTGCTAAAATGTCATTTCTCAGTAGCACTTTCTCTGACCATCGGATTTCAGATTGCAATCTCCAGCAACCCTTATCCCCTTCTCAGCTTTGTATTTCTCCTGGGTTCCATTCAGCCGCAGGCAGCTCTCCCATGGTTGGCCAGGGCTTGACAGATTTTATCTCTCCCAAACCCTTAAGGGCTGTCATACCTGACTATTTGGGAGCTGTCTAGCTGCCCCTTGTGATGAATCCATCTCTCTGAGTCACGTTTTATCACATCACCCTGGGGGTTTTTTTCATCACCATTTGTGTGCTCTGAAAAAAAGCTAATGTATTTGTTCATTTATCTATTTGGTTTTTTAAAAAATAGCCATTTATTTATTAAAATATCTTTTTATTGATTTCAGACAGGAAGGGAGAGGGGGAGAGTGATAGAAACCTTAATGCTGAATCACTGATCAGCTGCCTCCTGCACACTCCCCGCTGAGGATCCAGCCCACAACCTGGGCATGTGCCCTGACCGGGAATGGAACCACCACCTTCTGGTGTCCTGGAGGACACGCCAACCAAGTGAGCCACACCAGCCAGGGCTGTTTGGTTTTAATATCCGTCCAGCGCCACCCCTCACTTTTTTTTAAAATAATTTTTATTTCTTGAAGTATTACAAAGAGTATTACATATGTCTCCTCCCCCCCCCCCTTGACATTCCCCTGGCCCCTACCCCCTAGTGTCTTGTGTCCATTGGTTATTCTTATATGCATGCATATAAGTCCTTCGGTTGATCTCTTAACCCCCCTCCCCAAACCCTCCCCAGGCTTCCCACTGTAGTTTGACAGTCTGTTCAATGCTGCTCTGCCTCTGCATCTACCCCTGTTCATCAGTCTATACTGGTCCCATTATCTGTCCCAACCTCACTGGAGCCGTCCCAACCTCACCGGGCCTGTCTCGGCCTCACTGCACCCCTCACTTTTATGGGAGCTCAATGAAAGAGGAAACTTAGCTGTCTTTCCAGGCTGGTTGTCAGTCTCCCAGAGACAGCCAGGCATCTCCACACCTACCCCTGGGACTTGCCCCTTCTGGAAACACCCAGAACCCAGGCATCCCCCCCTCTGCTGCCAGCTCCCACCAATATCCCTGGCTCAGTCTCAGAGCACTGCTGCTGCTGCTTCCCTAGGTCACTTCTGGGGACAGTTTGGGATCCTGAAGCATCTCTTCAGGGCTGGAGAGTAATGGGCTGGGGTCCTTATCCAAGCAGGTGTCAGGTGCCTGGAGCTCAAGAAATACTTTTTTTTAAAAAAAAAATTTTCTTTATTGATTTCAGAGAGAAAGGAAGAGGGGGAGAGAGAGAGAAACATCAATGATGAGGATCATTAATCGGCTGCCTCCAGCAGGCCCTCTACTGGGGATCAAGCCTGCAACCCAGGCATGTGCCCTTGGCCGGAATCGAACCTGGGACCCTTCAGTCCACAGGCCAATGCTCTAGCCACTAAGCCAAGCCAGCTAGGGCTCAAGAAATACTTTTTGATTAAATAAAAGGAAAGAGTTCAGAGACTATAGGACAGTGGTTCCCAACCTTCCTAATGCCACAACCCTTTAATACAGTTCCTCATGTGGTGGTGACCCCCAACCATAAAATTATTTTCGTTGCTACTTCATAACTGTAATTTTGCTACTGTTATGAATCGTAACGTAAATATCTGATATGCAGGATGTATTTTCATTGTTACAAATTGAACATAATTAAAGCATAGTGATTAATCACAAAAACAATATGTAATTATATATGTGTTTTCCGATGGTCTTAGGCGACCCCTGTGAAAGGGTCGTTCGACCCTCAAAGGGGTCGCGACCCACAGGTTGAGAACCGCTGCTATAGGACCTTGCCAGGTGAAGAAAAGAGAAAAGGCACTCCAAGCTGAAGGAACAGTGTGAGCAAGGACTGAAGGCATGCAAGTGCACGTCCGAGTTGAAGGGCGTGTTCTGGTCTGGTGCAGACAGAGGTTTCCAGTGGAGAGGAGCAGGAGAGCATTGCTGGGCAGGCCTGGAAGAAGAGGGCTGATTGGAGAGGTCTGAGCTCCCTGAAGGATCAACAAGGATCAGCAGTGTCTTAGGTTTAATCCTGTACCCCTCCCCCCACACACCACCACCCGCCCCCACTTCAGTCCGCCCCTCCTACTCTACCCCTGCCCCTCCTTCACTCAACCCCCAAGCCTGGCAGATTCTGCAGCTGAATGGACTTCTCTCTGGGCCTACGTTTGGGGCCACGAAACAAGAAGGCCACCCACCAACAACCTCCTGCACCCTCTGGGCATGTCCCACCAGCTGCCTCTCCTTGTCTATCCTGTCCTCCCTCTGCCTGTGCCTGCCCCTGCCCTGCCTGTCCTCATCCCACCTGCAACTGCACTTCCTACCCCTCTTATGCAGCTACCTGTCCCTCCTGTCCCAGCCTCCCTGGCCCACCCTGCACCTGCCCCTGCCCTGCCTGTCCTCCCTCAACTTGTCACCATAGCTCTGGTGTCCCATGCTCTGACCCTCACTTGACCTACTGCCATCCCTCACCTTGCCCCATTTACCCTAGTGCCAAGGGCCGATCCGCCTGTCCCAGCTCCTGTTTGGCCTATAGTAACAACTGTGGCTGTGGCAGAGCGCCTGCCTGGGGGCCTCCAGGCTCCATTGGCTACTGCAGCTGCTGCTTCAGGGGACAACGCACCTCTCGGTGGCACTGTCTGATAGTCTAGGCGGGCTATTGCCCCCTAAAGAGACTGTCAGTCTTCTGGAGCCCTTCTGGAGCTGCTTCCTCAGGAGGCAGAAGCTCTGAGTGGAGTAAGAGGGGTCACCTGAACCCCTCACCCAGAAGGTAAAGGCAGCACACTGCTTAGAGCCCCTGGCCTCCCTCCCCCTCAGTCCTGGGGGTGAGAACAGGCATCTGCTTTGAAGTTAGTTTCTGGGCATGTTCCTGCTGGTTCCAGAAACTCTTCTTCTGCAACGTTTGGAATGGAAACTGTTCTCAGAGCCTCCTGCAAGGCCTCTGAAGGTAAGCAAGTTGGCCATCCCCCACCCCCCCACACTCCCCCACCCCCCGGCTCTTCACCCTCCTTGGGGACTCTTCTTGGCTCCTCTGAGTTCACATAGATAAGATAAATTCTTCTTCTAGAGGTGATAGGGGACCCTCTGCCCAGGGGCCATTTTTTGGCCCTTGAACCTCCACCCAATCCCTAACTGACCCAATCCCTAACTGACCCAAGAGTCTCTGGACCCCTTACCTCTCATCTTGAGTCAGGCAAAGATGATAGATCAGTGGCTCTTGGACCAGAAGAGGAGGCTGAGCAGCAGGGTTTTAGCTCCTTCTTCCCCTTGGATATCATGACATCATACATGGTCCTTTGCTTTTAGGAATCTGGTGCTCTCTGCCTGGATGTCTTGTCTTGCAAATCTCTGAGTGCTAGCCCAGCCTCATGACCTCAATCTTCCAGGATTAGTCCCATCTGAAACATCTCTGCTCATCTGGTATGGGGTGAGGGAAGCTGGGAACCCTTGACTCAGTTCCCATCAATCCCATCCACACATGGCCAGTCATGAGTCCCCTGTCCCTGGGGAGTCGGACTAGGGGGATGAAGAAACCACCATGAGGAAGCTGTAAGTGAGAGACTGGGTATCTGCCCAGGACTGGACCCTAAGCTGAGAGCCCCTGAGCCTCCACATTTCTGAAGTTCTCTGACACTAGTCTTTTTCAGTCTTCTCTTTCTCAGTCTCCTTCTCTGGAACCCTTTGTTTTTTTCCTTTACATCTCTGTTTATCCTTCCATTTATCTTTCCTTCTATCTTTCCACATCACTCTCTCCATTTCTGCTTCCTTCTTTCTCTCTATCACTGGGTCATTCTGTCTTCACCTAACTTGTGTCTTGATATGTGTTTTCCCTACTCTCTAGTGCTCTAATTCTCCCTCCCTCTATTTACCCTTTCAATTTTAAATCTACTTAACATATATGTCTTTTTCTTTCCCCCTTCCTGTCTCAGTCTTTATCTTCATGTCTATTTTCTTCCTTGGTCTTTCAATCCACCTCACATCGCTCTGCTTTTCTGTCCTATTCTGCTATTGGGTACATTTCATTTGTGATCTCTCATTTCTGTTTCCCTTTCTGTCTTTATCTCTCTTCCTGTGTTCTGTGTCTAGCTGTTTCTTCTCTCTCTCTCTCTCTCTCTCTCTCTCTCTCTCTCTCTCTCTCTCTCTCTCTCTCTCTCTCCATCCTGCAGCTGCCAAATCAGTCACATGCCCACCTCATTGCTGTCCAAGGACCAGGACACTAAGCCCTCTAGTATCTGTCTGTCCCCCACACACTCCATGCCCTGAAGTGAGTGAGGGTTAGACACAAGTGCCCCACCCACTATCTAGGCCATCTATCCCTATTCAGCTCTAAGATGAAATTTTTTAAAATATATTTTATTGATTTTTTTACAGAGAGGAAGGGAGAGGGATAGAGAGCTAGAAACATCGATGAGAGAGAAACATCGATCAGCTGCCTCCTGCACACCCGCCACTGGGGATGCATCCGCAACCAAGGCACATGCCCCTGACCGGAACCGAACCTGGGACCCCTCAGTCTGCAGGCCAATGCTCCATCTACTGAGCCAAACCAGCTAGGGCGAATTTTTTTTTAAATGATGCTCCTCCCAACTTCTTTTTCTGAAAATTGGCAATTAAAAAGAAAAAGAATTAAACATTTATGCTGTCTGTCCTGTAGAAACTATATTTCAGGGTAGCCAAATAACTGTAAGTGGTGGAGAAAACTTCTTATTTACGGAAGAATTTCAGCTAATATGGAAGGAATATGGAATCAGAAAAATCAGCATTTGTAACCCTTAATGTAATAATTGATTAAAGCAAGCATCTTCAATGGATAAAACCAAGTATGATGGTTGATGGAGAAATTTACAAAGAAGGAATCAAGCTGTCACCACCTGAGCCCCTGGTGAATCTTAGCGTTACTAAAAGGGGCACAGCCACACACTGTGCACCCCTGGTATAATGCAGTCTGAAGTACTCAGCTCCGTCTATGAAGGACTCTTGCCAAACAAAACACTGAACATGATTTTAACCAAAACTCCATTTAACAGGAAATACTAGGGATAGAAGAACAAATTAAATGACACAATGAGGAAGTCAGAAGACACATCCTGAATGGAGGACATTCTAAAGGATATCTGACCCAGTTTCTTCAACTAGTCAATGACTGGGGAAGGAAGGTGAGAGGTGACATTACAAGACAATTGCCACATGGAACATGAGGACCTTGTTTGGTTCCTGATTTGGACAACCCAATGTAAAAAGACAGTCTCCAGCAGTTGAGGACAGTTAATTATGGACCGGTTATTTATGATGCCAAGGAATCAGTGCTGATCTTGTTAGATATAAAAATGGCTTCGGGGTCATGTAAAAAAAAGGGGGGTTCTTATTTCCTAGAGCTGCATATGGAAGTATGGACTGAAGTAACATTTAATTTTAAATATTTTGGCAAATAAAAAATGACAGAAAGAAAGGAGTAGAAGGAACAAAATGACAAAAATCAACATTGTTGAATTAAGTATATAAAGGCTCACAGAATTATGCTCTCTACCTTTGTGTATGTTTGAGCATTTTTGTAATAAAAGTTTTAAATGATGCTCCTCTGGTAAGCATGTTTCCTAGTAACTCCCAGAGCATCCTCCCCACCTGCCCTGAAAGACTTCCCCTGTGTGACTTCCCACACAGACCCCAGCCCTCCCTGCCCTCTACTGGAAGCGTGCACTAGAGATGGGTTGTGCTCACGGGCTGCCCTTCATCCCCTCCAGTCCTCTGCTGGCACATTCCTCATGTTTAGGACTTTTCCAGCTGTGCTTCACAGCTCTGCAGGGCCAGGAGAACCTTAAAAAACAAACATAAAAAAAGAAAGAAAGAAAGAAAAAAGAACAAACATATTTTGAATAGTTCTTACTATAAACAAAAATAATCCCAAATAATGTAATCTTGCTTTAAGTCTCTCTCTGTCACGTGCTCTGAACAAAATGGCCTCAGTCCTGGAACACAGAAGGCAAGAAATGTAAGACCATCCTGTTCCACTCCCTGCCTTCATTCAGGATGACCTCCGCCCTCAAAGAAAAGACTACCAACAACTGGGAAACTGGGTATCATGAGTTCAAGGAGCGTCAGTCCAGGACTGTGATGGAGGGCATTTGGGTCAGTCATGCCCTCATTCACTGAATGACCTTAGAGAAATCATGATTTTTTTCACTTATATAACTTGTTTCATACTACAGATTAGAAATTTACACAAAAGTAATACTTTTCTTCTCTTAAATATATATATATATATATATATATATATATATATATATCCTATATAATAAAAGCATAGGTGATGTCAAACCCTTGCATGATGCCCTCACATCATCACAAGATGGCCGCCACAAATCATCACAAGATGGCCGGCAGGGGAGGGCCGTTGGGGGTGACCAGGCCAGCAGGGGAGGGCCATTAGGGGTGACCAGGCTGGCAGGGGAGGGAAGTTGGGGGCAACCAGGCCTGCAGGGGAGGGCAGTTGGGGGCAATCAGGCCAGCAGGGGAGTGGTTAGGGGGCGATCAGGCTGGCAGGCAGAAGTGGTTAGGGGCAATCAGGCAGACAGGCAGGCGAATGAAGCAGTCCCAGATTGTGAGAGGGATGTCCGACTGCCGATGCAGGATCAGGCCTAAACTGGCAGTTGGAAATCCCCCAAGGGGTCCCAGATTGGAGGGGGCGCAGGCTGGGCTGAGGGACACCCCCCCCCCACCCCAGTGCACAAATTTTGTGCACCGGGCCTCTAATATATATATATATATATATATATATATATATATATATATATATATATATATATATATATATAATAGTGACATTGGCTTTCAGTAATAACAATTTTAGTCTAATGTCTATCCCAGCCGTGGGCAAACTACGGCCCGCGGGCTGGATCCGGCCTGTTTGAAATGAATAAAACTAAAAAAAAAAAAAAGACTGTACCCTTTTATGTAATGATGTTTACTTTGAATTTATATTAGTTCACACAAACACTCCATCCATGCTTTTGTTCCGGCCCTCCGGTCCAGTTTAAGAACCCATTGTGGCCCTCGAGTCAAAAAGTTTGCCCACCCCTATTTTTTATAGTCTATCCCTATAAAAAATCAAATTTTCTTACACTATCACCAGTATCATATTAAAAATTCCCATAAAAGAGGGAGTTTCCCCCAACCCTTAGTTTTTGGTTCTGAGCTTCATGAAGCTGTTTTTCCTATTCATAAATTTTTAGCAGTCTCACATCTGTTATTCCAAACAACAGAAAAATTGACCTATTAAATCTTACTGAAATGGAAAATTTTGTGCTGTTGAACAATAAGATTCTGAACACTCACCAGTGGTGTTGGTTATACCCAATGCGATAATATTGTAGTATAATAAGGGAATTGGGACACCTCCTGAGGGACTTCGTAAGGGCTTTGTGTCATGTAAGAACCTTTATAACAGGCCTCTTCCCTCAGTGCTTTGCCTGCTCCGTGAGAAAAATGATTTTTTGAGTCTTAGTGTTTCTAGATGAACGCATGGAAACCACTACCCCTTCCTACTCTCTAGAAGTTTGCCAGTTAGGGATGAAGGAACTTTGGAGCTTGGATACAAATCTCAACTGTTTCCTTTATTATAAGAATTTCTGAGATGTAATCTCAGACCCTCCCACCATGCTCCAAACTTAATTTTTTATATTTTTTAAGCGAAATTGAGATCAATTTGTTGCTCCACTTTTTAATGCATTCATTGGTTGATTCTTTTTTTAGAATATATTTTTATTGAATTCAGAGAGGAAGGAAGAGGGAGAGAGAAACATCAATGATGAGAGAGAATCATTGATCGGCTGCCTCCTGCACACACCTCACTGGGGATGGAGCTCACAACCCAGGCATGTGCCCTTGACCAGGACCCCAGTCCACAGACCAACACTCTATCCCAGGGGTGGGCAAACTTTTTGACTCGAGGGCCACAATGGGTTCTTAAACTGGACCAGAGGGCCGGAACAAAAGCATGGATGGAGTGTTTGTGTGAACTAATATAAATTCAAAGTAAACATCATTACATAAAAGGGTATGGTCTTTTTTTTTTTTTTTTTAGTTTTATTCATTTCAAACAGGCCGGATCCGGCCCGCGGGCCGTAGTTTGCCCACAGCTGCTCTATCCACTGAGCCAAACTGGCTAAGGCCATTGGTTGATTCTTGTATGTGCCCTGACTGGGACTGAAACTGGCCACCTTTTGGTACATGGGATGATACACCAACCTGGCCATACCAGCTAGGGTAGGCCAGCACTTTTTAGAGTAATTACATGGATTAACTTATTCATTTATTCATCAAATATTTATTAAATTTTGAAAAATGTACCAGTAACTGTTTTAAGTACTGGAAATACAAGTGAACAAAGCAGATAAAAATCTGCTGGGCAGAGATAGTCCTATCTAATAAAAGAGAAACATGGTAATTAGCCGTACATCCGCTACCCTTCCCATTGGCTAATCAGGGTGATATGCAAATTAACTGCCAGCCAAGATGGCAGCGGGCAGCCAGGCAGCTTGAAACTAACATGAGGCTTGCTTGCTTTAGTGACGGAGGAAACCAATGTTCCCCGCCTTCCTTGCCGGCCTCTGAGCTTGCAGTTTGAAACATTGTTATAAATATAGAAGCTAAACAAAACCCCAGAAACCTGCTTTCAGCCAGCCGGGATCTCAGAGCTGGAGTTGATACAGTGTTTCGATTATAGAACCCAAACAAACCAGATACCTGCTTTCAGCAGCAGAGGCCTCAGAGCTGGAGCCAGAGCTAAAGCTGGCCCAGAATAAAAAGAAAAAAAGGAGCAGTTGGGAGCTTCAGTCACCTGCCAGCCTGAAAACAGCCCTCAGCCCCTCACCCAGACTGGCCAGGCACCTCAGTGGGGACCCCCACCCTGAAGGGTGTGTGACCAGCTGCAAATAGCCATCATCCCCTCACCCAGGCTGGCTAGGCACCCCAGTGGGGACCCCCACCCTGATCCAGGACACCCTTCAGGGCAAACCAGCTGGCCCCCACCCATGCACCAGGCCTCTATCCTATATAGTAAAAGGGTAATATGCCTCCCAGCACCGGGATCAGCAGAGCCGAGAGGCCTCCCGGAACCGGGATCAGCATGACAGGGGGCAGTGCCCAAACCCCCTGATCACCCTGTGGCTCTGTGTGTGACAGGGGGCGGGGCCACAACCTCCCTATCCACCCTGCTCTGTTCGTGACAGGGGAAGGTGCGCCAGCCCCCTGATCAGCCCTGCTCTGTGCCTGATAGGGGGGAGCTCCGCAACCCCGATTGCCCTGCGGCTCTGTGTGTGACAGGGTGCGGCACCCCAACCCCCTGATCGGCCCTGCTCTGTGTGTGACAGGGTGCGGTGCCACAACCCGCCCCTGGGCCCTGCTCTGTGTGACGGGGTAGAGCCATAATTTCCCCATCGGCCCTGCCCTGAGTGTGAGAGTGGCGGCGCCTCAACCCCCTGATTGGCCCTGCTCTGTGGGTGATAGAAGGCAGCGCCCCAACCCCCTGATTGGCCCTGCTCTGTGTGTGACAGCGGGCAGTGCCCCAACTCCGCTATCAGCCCTACTCTGTGAGTGACGGGGGGAGCTCCCCAACCCCCTGATTGACCCTGCTCTGTGCGTGACAGGGTATGGAGCCCCAACCCCACTGATGGGCCCTGCTTTGTGCGTGACAGGGGGTGGCGCCACAACCTCCCAATCTGCCCTGCTCTGTGCATGACAGGGGCCGGCGCCCCAACTCCCCAATCGGCCCTGCTCTGAGCCCGACCAGGGGCTGTACCTAGGGATTGGGCCTGCCCTCTGTCACCCGGGAGCAGGCCTAAACCAGCAGGTCGTTATCTCCCGAGGGGTCCCAGACTGCGAGAGGGCACAGGCCGGGCTGAGGGACTCCCCCCCCCCCCGCCCCCGTCCCCCCAAGTGCACAAATTTTTGTGCACCAGGCCTCTAGTAAATAAATAAACAACTAAAAATATATGGTATGCCAAATGGTAAGTGCAATGGAGAAAATGCAGCAAAGGAGAATAGAGTGTTAGCAGGAAAGCAGGTAGATTTCGGTGGTGGAGGTGTTGTTGTTGCTGTTTTAAACAGGATGGCCAAGAAAGGCCCCTCTGATAAAGTGACATCTGTACAGAGAACTGGAGCACTGAGGGAGGGAACCATGTGACTATCTGGAGAACCAGAACCTTACAGGGCCTAATGTGCAAAGACCCTGGTGACAGCCAGTGCAGACAGAGTAGGAGTAGAGTGGAGAACGTAGGAGATGAGGTCAGAGAAGTAGCAGCCAACAGGACAGAGGGGTTTGCAGGCCATTGTAAAGATTCTGGCTTTTTGTGCTTGGTGAAATGGGAAACTATTGGAGGGCCTCGAGATCAAATTAAAGCCGAAGAGACGTTAAGTAACTTTTCCAAGGTAACACAGTTTGTTTGTTTAAAAATATTTTTTAACTTAAAAAATAATATATTTTTAAATTGATTTCAGAGAAGCAGGGAGAGGGAGAGGGAGATAGAAACCTCAATGATGAGAGAGAATCATTGACCGGCTGCCTCGGCCCCGACTGCTGATTGATCCCGCAACTGGGCACGTGCCCTCGACCAGAATGGAACCCGGGACCCTTCCGTCCGCAGGACCACTCTGTCTGTATCCACGGAGCCAGCGGCGGGCAAGGTGACAGGGTTTGCCAGTGACAGGAGGTTAGCGCGCTCCGGGCGCTAACCCTATGCTGCTGCTGACCTTCGGCCTTTTTACTTGGGCACCGCTCTGCTCTGACTTCAGGTGAAGAAACTGGGACACCGAGGAGTTAGGTGGCTTGCCCGAGGCCAGGCAGCTGGTAAGGGACGGGGTGGGATCTGAGCCTCGTCCGTCCGCGGCCGGGAGTCCAAGTCCTTTACACCACACTGCCTCCCGCAGGTGTCTGCCAGACCGACTCCTGGCCTGGACGCCACGACAGCTGGCTTCTGGCCTGGACGCCACCACGATGAGAGAAGACCAGAAGACCGGTCCCGGCTTAGGGTGGCCGTGTTCTTTGGGCAGCTCCAGCCGCGGGTTCGCGGGCATTTTCCCGGGCACAGCCGTGCCCTCTGGCCTACGGCGCGGAGAAAGAGAGTAAATAGGCCTTTACTTCGGGGTGGCCCGCAGGTATCCGGGAGTTTAGGAAGCGGGTTCGGGGAGGAGGCAGTGGGCAAGGCGGGACGAAATCGGCGACTTTTCCTGCCTCCCGTCGTCCCCCCGGAGGCGTCCGGGGTTCCGCGGCGCGCGGGGCGGGGCGGGGCGAGAAGGCGGGGCGGGGCCAGGGGCGGGGCTCGCGCGCGACGTCCCCGTCACGTGACGGGGCCATCATGGCGGCGACCGGAGGCCTGCCAGGCTCCCGGAAGCAGGCTGTGAGGGGCGGGCGCGCCGCTGGAACCCGAGCCGGAGCCGGAGCCGGAGGTGGAGCGGGCCGGGCGGCCGGGCGGCCTGGAGCCGGACGTGTCCGGAGCGTCCCCGCAGACCGGGGCAGCAGGTGAGACGGGGTCCGTGTGAGGCGCGAGCGGGGGTGGCGGCGCGGCGGTGCCGGGCGGGGGCCAGGGGGCGCCAGGGGATTCCGTGACCTCGAGGAGGGGGAATCGGAGATGCACGCTGCTGACCCGGCCGCAACCCTAGGGCCCCGCGCCCGCGGCAGGGATGCCCGGGGCCGGAGACGCGGCATGGAGGGCAAACACGGGCTCCCCGGAGAGGATGGGAGGTGATGGAAGGAAGCAGGCGGGAGCTGTGTGGAAGCGGGCAGGAGCCCCTTCACCGAAGGGGCGAGCGGGGATTATTGAAGGGACTTCCTTGCTCTGGCAGGCCAGGGTGGGGCGAATCGTCAGTCTTCTCCCCTCTCCTCCTGCCCCTCCCTGCCCCTCCGTGTCCTAGGAGACCGCGCTGGCGGGCCACTCCTCCCACCCACCCGACTGGTCGCTCCGGTCTGCGCTCCGGGGGCGTGGAGCGGAGGGGCGGGGAAGTGCCCTCGGCCGGGGGGAGGGTGGAGCCGCCTTCTGCGCAGACACACAGCCCCTTGACCGCGCTGCCCGGGCCATGGATGTGACTCTGAAACCCCCTTGTTTCCCCAGGTCGTCCGGGGGCCCGCCATGCTGGTGACGGCCTACCTTGTCTTTGTGGTCCTCCTGACCTCCTGCCTGGGGTTGGAGCTGTCAAGATGCCGGGCTAAGCCCCCGGGAAGGGCCTGCAGCAACCCCTCTTTCCTGCGGTTTCAACTGGACTTTTATCAGGTCTACTTCCTGGCCCTGGCCGCCGACTGGCTTCAGGCCCCCTACCTCTATAAACTCTATCAGCATTACCACTTCCTGGAGGGTCAGATTGCCATCCTCTATGTCTGTGGCCTCGCCTCCACGGTCCTCTTTGGACTGGTGGCCTCCTCCCTGGTGGATTGGCTGGGTCGAAAGAAGTCCTGTGTCCTCTTCTCCCTCACTTACTCCCTGTGCTGCCTAACCAAACTCTCTCGGGACTACTTTGTGTTGCTGGTAGGCCGGGCACTTGGTGGGCTGTCCACCGCCCTGCTCTTCTCTGCCTTCGAGGCCTGGTACATCCATGAGCACTTGGAGCGGCATGACTTCCCTGCCGAGTGGATCCCAGCCACCTTTGCCCGTGCTGCCTTCTGGAACCATGTGCTGGCTGTCGTGGCAGGTGTGGCCGCTGAGGCTGTGGCCTGCTGGATGGGACTAGGGCCTGTCGCGCCCTTTGTGGCTGCCATCCCTCTCTTGGCTCTGGCGGGGGCCTTGGCCCTTCACACCTGGGGAGAGAACTATGATCGGCAGCGTGCCTTCTCAAGGACCTGTGCTGGGGGCCTGCGCTGCCTCCTGTCGGACCGCCGTGTGCTGCTGCTAGGCACCATACAAGCCCTGTTTGAGAGTGTCATCTTCATCTTTGTCTTCCTCTGGACACCGGTGCTGGACCCACACGGGGCCCCACTGGGCATCATCTTCTCCAGCTTCATGGCAGCCAGCCTGCTCGGCTCTTCCTTGTATCGCATCGCTACCTCGAAGAGGTACCACCTTCAGCCTATGCATCTGCTCTCCCTTGCTGTCCTCATCGTTGTCTTCTCCCTCTTCATGCTGACTTTCTCCACCAGTCCAGGCCAGGAGAGTCCAGTGGAGTCCTTCATAGCCTTCCTACTTATCGAATTGGCCTGTGGCCTATACTTTCCCAGCATGAGCTTCCTGCGGAGGAAGGTGATCCCCGAGACGGAGCAAGCGGGTGTCCTCAACTGGTTCCGGGTGCCCCTGCACTTGCTGGCCTGCCTGGGGCTCCTAGTCCTTCATGATAGTGATCGCAAAACAGGCACTCGGAACATGTTCAGCATCTGCTCTGCTGTCATGGTGATGGCTCTGCTGGCAGTGGTGGGGCTCTTCACCGTGGTAAGGCATGATGCTGAGTTGCGGGTGTCCTCGCCCAATGGGGAGCCCTATGCCCCTGAGCTCTAACTCTGTTTCAAGACAGGGGGGCTGGGACAGACTCTTGACTTCCACCTCTCCAGGGTTGTACAGATCTCTCGTTGACTGACTTTGGGACTATCTGGCCCCTCAGCCTGTCCTTGGGGACCCTCCTGCCAGTGCTTTGGGTTGGGGAGTACATGGGGGTGATATCCTGGAAAGAAGATGCCAAAAGTTGCCTCTGTGTTACTCCCTTTCCCTTTTCAATTTAAAAATAAACACTTTTCACTGATCATTGATTTGATTTACTCATCCTGACCTGTACCCACCTTAGTAGTTTCTGGTGGGGAGAAGATAAAGGTGGAGTTATCAGCAGAATGTTTGTATTTGTAGCCTAAGACTGTATCCAGCTTAAACTGAGTTTTGGAATTTTCTGTAAGCAGAAATGGGTGGGAAATGCCTGAGGCTACTAGGTCCTCCATGTCTTTTTAAAAAAATATATTTTTATTGATTTCAGAAAGGAAGGGAGAGGAAGAGAGAGAGAAACATCAATGATGAGAATCATTGATTGGCTGCCTCCTGCACACCCCCAACTGGGGGTCAAGCCCGAAACCCAGGCATGTGCCCTTGACCGGAATTGAACCTGGGACCCTTTAGTCTGCAAGCCAACGCTCTATCCACTGAGCCAAACCAGGTAGGACAGTCCTCCATATCTTGTTACCCTGGGGACAGGCATCCTCTCCAGGGGTGGATGCCACTGAGCAAAGATTCCAGGGGCTTGGGCTGCTTCTATATCCACTCCTTGGGGCAAATTCAGGGCCTTCCTACAGGAAGAAGCTTGCAGCTCCCCACATGCATGTTACCTGTCTTCTGCCTCTGGGGGCTGTGAAGGTGCTATTTGTCCAGCATCACTGGGCCCACTAGGTCCTGTATCTTTGCATGAAATCTAAGTGAAGGGCTGCCAAGGTGAGAGAGTAGTGAATGGCTGAGGGACTGGGACATCTTGTCAGTACCTGACTCTTCCCCACCCAGACTGAGTGAGGGTGAGGGAGCCATCAGGGCAGGAAACAGTACCAGTGGGAACACCAGTTTTGTGGGCCCCTCCCTGCCTCACCTCAGATGGTATCTGCCTTTACTCCTCCCACCAACACCTGGGCTTCTCAGGGGAAGCAGAGCCAACTTTAAGAAGGGTGGGGATGGAGGGAGGGCAAGCTCAAGGGTGTGTCCTGGAATGTGCTTGAGTTGGGCATGGGGGACCCACCTGTTCTGGAAAGGAATTGACAACCTTTCCCTGGGTCCCAGACTAATTCCCAGACAGGAAGATGCAAGATGCTCCAAGACCTGCAAGTTATAACCTGTGTGGAGAGATAACATCAGCTGGTGCTAGAAGAATGCAGCATAGATGGTCTTCTGCATGGTGAGGCTGAGGGGGAGGAATGGGTGGTGGTCTCAGGTCCCTACTTAGAGCAGAAAAAAAACAACACGTGTTCCCCCACCCAGGCTGCAGGGAATACAAGTTGAGGTTAAGTACAGAAAAACATACCTTTGCCTTCCCCCACCTTGAAGCTAAGACGGAATCTGTTGCAATAACCCCACATCCTCTTTCTAGCCCTGAGCTGGACCTAGATATATTTTATTGTTATTTGTAGACTTTCTGTTTCTCTTTACCATACTATGATCTCCTCAAGGATAAGAGGAAATGGTATGTTATTTGCCTTTGTCTGCCTGTATATGCACACAAGTGTGTGCTTTGTCCATAGCTATGCTCAGTAAATGTCTGGAAAGGAGATGGGCTAGTTCATACCTGGCTTTTCAAGAGCTGCCCTTTTGGCAGCTATTAGACTAGAATTTAGAGCCTAGTTAATGATTTGTTGTTTTGGATAACAGTAGTTATTTACTGATATAGGTATGAGGGGGCCCAACATTGCTAAGTGGTAAGGAAATTGGAGGGTAGACAGACCAGTGTGCCTTTAACTTTGTCTCTGCTGAGTTTTCTTCAAAGGGGCTGGTGACATGGAGTTGGGAGGTTTTCTGTGAGATTCAACAGGGTATTAAAAACTCAAAGGCGCCCTAGCCGGTTTGGCTCAGTGGATAGAGCGTCGGCCTGCGGACTGAGGGGTCCCAGGTTCGGTTCCGGCCAAGGGCATGTACCTTGGTTGCAGGCACATCCCCAGTAGGGGGTGTGCAGGAGGCAGCTGATTGATGTTTCTCTCTCATCT